TGGGTTATGAGTCCGACTCTCTAACCATTAGGCCACAACTTCCCCCTGAAGTCTGAAATAAGGAATTTAGGTAAAGTGGTGCAGAGCCAGTGGTGGTTTTGTAGGCAAACATTAATGCCTTGAATTTAATGCGAGCAGCTACTGGTAGCCAGTGCAAATTGATAAACAGAGGTGTGACGTGCATTCTTTTCAGCTTATTAAAGATTAACCTTGCTGCCACGTTTTGGATTAATTGTAAAGGTTTGATAGAACTGGCTGGAAGACCTGCCAAGAGAGCATTGCAATAGTTCAACCTGGACAGAACAAGAGCTTGAACAAGGAGCTTTGAAGCATGTTCCGAAAGAAAGGGCCCTTCTTGATGTTGAATAAAGCAAATCTGCAGGACCGGGTAGTTTTTGCAATGTGGTCTTAGAAAGTCAGCTGATCATCAATCATAACTCCAAGGTTTCTAGCTGTTTTTGAACGAGTTATGGTTGACGAGCCTAACTGGATGGTGAAATTTTGATAAAGTGATAGGTTTGTTGAAACCACAAGCAGTTCTGTCTTGGCAAGGTTGAGTTGAAGGTGATGGTCCTTCATCCAGCAAGAAATGTCTGTAAGACCAGCTGAGATGCGAATTTAAGTTTTAAATTCCATTTTTCTTATGTGATTTTTTTTTTTATATTTCTATTTATCTTTAAATAATTTTTATATCAGCTTTAGTGATTGTAGCTAGTTAATCAGTCTTCGTTTGAGTTATAAACTTCAGTTTGATATGTGATTTTGTTTTTGTTTTTAATATTTCAATTTACTATTTAATCAGTTTTTTATTTGAATTCAAGTTTAATTTTTAAACTAAATTTTGTTTTGTGATTTATTTATTTATTATTATTATTATTATTATTTTTAGCTTTCGTTTATTTCTATTTAAGTTTTAGGAATTTTTATTAGTTTACACTAATGCCGAGTTCACACTGCACGATTTTTCACTCGCCGACGGGTTTTGCGAAATCGCCGACAGATGCCCAAAATCGGAGGCAAATCGGTGCTCGTTCACGCGAGTGACAATCACGCAGTGTGAATTATCAAAGACGTGATCTG